CTTTAACTTCTCGATCATCGTCTTTAACTTCGGCTTTTACTTCCGTAATCTTTTGTTCTAGGTTAGCGACAAATCCGTGTGGTGAGAAATATTGTCTGTAGTTGTCCAACGTCTTCTTGCCGTTATTTTTGTCGCCTGGCCTCCTCGTCTTGTTTTTCTTGTTGTCGTTTAACTCCTTCTTCTGGTTTCTCTTTTTGTCGCCTAGCCTCTTCGTCTTGTTTCTCTTGTTGTCGTTTAGCCTCTTCTTGTTGCCGTCTACCTTCTTCTTCTTGTTTTTCTTTTTGTCGTCTAGCCTCTTCGTCTTGTTTTTCTTGTTGTCGTTTGGTCTCTTGAAGTTCCAACATTTTGCGCATAAGTTCTTCAACTTTTTGTTCTTCCATTTTTGTTTGTTGTCTCGTAATAGGCATATACAGAATGTTCTAGAATTTCCCTCAAACTTTCTTCAAATATCTTTCCTGGTCTTTGCTTGAAGTTCCAAACACGCCGGTGGAGTCACAAATTGGATAACTTGCTTTATTCTCGGATAAAATGTTCTAGAATTTTCTTGGAATGTCTTTTCTGGATGTCGATTGATATAGCAAACACGTCGGTGAAGTCACAAATTCGATATCTCCCTTGGTTTCCAAATAGAATGTTGTAAAATTTTCCCGAAATTCCTCCAAATTCTTTTTCTGAGTGACGATTGATGTATCGAATACGTCGGCGAAGTCAGAAATTCGAAATCTCCCTTGGTTTCCAAATAGAATTTTCTAGAACTCATTTGAAAATTCACTAGCACAGTCAAAATCGGGTATACAGTCACTTCTGGTGTAATTTACACGATCGGTTGAGTCTCTTTTGGTGATTGTTACTGCTTACACTGACTCGCTGTCCCAGTGTTCACTTACAGCCGTATTCATAGTCAATCGCCATCGAGTCGCCGTATTTGGCCCAGCACACGGCGACTCCCTGGCGACTCGCTGGCGATTTACTATGAATACGGCTGTTAGTGTCCATACACAAGTGTCCGCACTATTCTGCAATCAGATTTCACTTTGCAGTGCTCGAATTATATTTCACTTCCGACATCAATGTTACGGCTCTAGGGTGTGTGACAGAAATCTTGGGTTCGTTTATTCCAAAATCAAAGTTCAATTAACACAACAATAATTTATTCCACGTTGCTACACACTCTGACATTAATTACTTCACTATTTAACTCAAACAACTTAACTCTCTACAACTTATATAAAATTCACTATTTAAATCGTATCGCAGTCAAGCTTAAACTTAAAAACCACTAACTAATACCGGCCTTTATGTATCCGTAATCCATTCTTGTATAATCCAGAATAACCGCGATAATCTTTTCCCCGAATAAAGCAGTATTTTTTGGAATTTTAGGCATGAATTCTGTATAACAGGGCGAAAGCGCATCGCGACAATATATAGGTATCTTCTTTTTTTGATGTAACTAGGTTTGGCCTGGCATTATCAATTTTTTTAAACTAGATTTTTTATGAAATTGAAATTCATAAAATCCGCCGAAAAATTGACGACTTAAAAAAGAAACGTTTTTTTTTTTTTAATGTGAGCAGGGAAAAGATCTAGTTTCACTGATGAAAAATTTCAACTTCCTGACGACCAGTTCCAACTTTCTGACAAACAGTTCTAGCATCCTGGCGAACAGAACAGTTCCAAACTCCGGATGGACACTTTCAACTTCCAGATGGACATTTTCAACTTCCAAATGGACACTTTCAACTTTCTGACGAGCATTCCCAACTTCTTCACGAGCTACTTCCATTTCATTTGCGAATTTATTACTTGTACTTCCAGAATTTTCTCGAGTCCGGTTTGTTCCTTAGAGATTATGGTTTGGATCCATTCTTTCTGTTTTCTTTTTTATTATGTCTTCTGTCTTTTTCCTCTTGTCTTTTTTTCTGTCTGTCTTCGGAAAGAAAATTTTACTTAACCCGGAAGCCCCAATATTTTTCATCTAATAAAATATTAGTTTCTTTTTAATTTACTTAAAAAAATAGAGATCTGGGGGGGGGGGGGGGGGGGGATTTTCGCCCAACGTTCTATTCTCAATAATCCGGTAGGATTTCATACCGACTGAAACATTTTCAGCTTTATTAGTAGATAATTTACTCGACTATATTGAAAAGAACAGTGAACAGTACCCGGGTCAGCTAATATCGCTATTAAAAAAAGGGGTTAGAAGAGTGAAAATTTAGGGTTGTATGTATTTTTAATGCCACATCATAAAAACATAAAAATAAAAAATGTTGTCCAAAAAATAAAATAAAAATTTTTGGGGTGAACCACCTTTATCACTTAGGGGTATAAAAAACAGATTACAACCGATTCTCAGACATACCGAATACTTTTGAAAAAATTTGAAAAAAAAAGTCAAGGGTTGTAAATAGGGGATGATTGTGTCAGGGGAAGATTTTTTTATATTTTTGAAGAGAGGTTAACTAAGCATTAGTCATTTTTTTTGTTTCAAATTATTATTTCTAAAAATAAGAAAGTTATGGCCTGTAACGCTGATTGTGGGACACCCTGTATACATATAAAATTTCATAAAAATCGGTCGAGCCGTTTCAGAGGAGTATTGTTACAAACATTGTGACACCAGAACTATATATGTATATTAGATAAGTATTGGTGCAGACCGCATTTTGATATCTTATACCGTTTCTCGATTTTGAGCAATACTGTATGATAGTGTGAAAGCTTTATCACTTTTTTGTTTACAATTGATTTTCGTGAAAACTTTCTCGAAATCGGGACAAACCAGAAAAAAATGAGTACGTTATTGGATTCTTGTTGAAAAAGTGCCTCTAGAATATTTATACAGAAATCAATTATGTATTTTCATAAATAAAAAAGTTATGAAGGTTTCACAGTACCTACCTATTGCTCAAAATCCAGAAATAACCTCCATAATGAAATTTTGAGCCCCAGAGTGAGGGATTCATTTTTTTTTTTTTGTATCTGGCTCAAAAATTTACGTTTTCTATCAAAAGTGTCTAAATCGGACCACCCTGTATATTCCTTAACAACGTATGTAAAGTAAAAATAAATGTTCAAAAAATTATTGTTGAATTCATAACCTGCGCCCATCCTTGAAAAAAAATCCTGGATCCGCCCCTGCTAGTACACGATGGAATTGTCTAGAAAATTACTCTATGGACTTGTTTTTCGATGTCGAAATAAGTGATGAAGTCACTATTATTCTATCACTCTCGGTTTCCAAATAGAATTCTATAAAAGTTGGCAGAATTTTCCAGAAAATCCGCTTGTGAGCTTTTTTTTATGTCAAGTTCGGTATTAAAGTCACTATTTCAGTTCAAAAAGTTCACTGATTATTCCCGCACTAATTAGATCAAATTAATACACCAATTGTCTTGCTAATAATTCCACTAATTAGCTCACACTAGTCCAGCAGTTATCATTGCCATTTCACTATTCAGCCCAAATTAAAGCACCATTATTTATCTTGCTGATCCTACTAATAAGCTTAAATTATTGCACCAGCTGTCTTACTAATAATCTCACTTCTGACACCAAACTGTCACGGATTGCGGGTTCACTAAAACTCACTTCACAAACAGTAGCAACTTTTATTAAACTAGTTGACTTCATACAAAATTCACCTATCACTTATCGAAACATACACGACAAATATCGAATTACAACATGACTTACCTACTTGAGCTACTACTTCGCGCTATTTATAGCAAATAGTGTACTCGGGTTTTATAAAGACTTGGAACTCTGTAACGGATAGAGATCGTTATCCCTATCGCTATGGCACTCGCTGTCTTCTTCTGTCTTGTCGAAATCTATAGAGAGGAGATGTCAATAGAGATAGAGAAGATATCTCTATTCGTTACAGAGTTCCAGCCGGCGCCCTACTCAAATAGAATTCTCTGCGACGCGCAGACAATTGCATTTCTTAGAATCCGGCCGAGCTCCTGAGGCAATTTTGTAACAAAATCCTATACATCATGAGAATCGTACTAAAATTATCAATTCAATAAGAATAAAATTTAATACGGTTTCCATTTGAAGAAGCATAAGTTTATGTCACATGTCAAAAACGACAGGTGGAACAAAAAAAGTTTTTATGTCATTTTATTGAGAATAAAATTTCTCAATAATTTATTATGTAAAATTTTCGTCTTAAATGAATATTTGCGGAACTAGGAGCGTTTTAAGAACTCGCCAAAAATCTGTTTTTTTTTGGAAATATCTATTGACAGCTGCGAAATTTTGGATAACTAAAATAGGTTTCGAGTAGAGCTTACAAAACTGCAATTCTTTGTCAATTTAAACTTTTTCGTATCTGCTATAGTTTCCGAGATCCGTATAGACCTTATAGGTATCGGGTCTTCAAAAAAAACCCAATCAAAGATTGATTTGATTACGAAAACGTACGTCGCATAATTGTTTTTTTATTGGTCAGGTTTTTTGACATGACATTTTGACATTGAAGTTCATTGACAAAATTAAAGAAAAATATTGCTAAGACATACGTTTAAAAAACCATAGCAATCTTTGATTGGTTTTTTTTTTGAAGACCCGATACTAAACATCGGAAAAAACTCACCCTTTATATTATGGAATGCCCTATATTTGGTTCTATACTCTTGAAGAGCACGATATTCCGATTAGAAAAATATAGGTACCTACCTTATAGTTGGCCTATATTTGGTTGAGCCGTCTCCAATATATTAAACATAATAATCCAGGTATTGTAAAACCCTTGGCAATTTCATTTAAAAGAATTTACTCATCGATAAAGGGGTATAAATTTTTTAATTTATTCTACAACCTGGCAGGGACCGAATTTGCCATCACCTACGGCTCAACCAAACATAGGCAAATTATTATATTTTTGGAATCAGAAAAATTCTGGTTTTTAAGAATATAGAACCAATTATTATAGGGCAAAAATAATGAGATCTCAAATCTTTTACATTCGATTAAAATAAATTGAAAATTCTTACTGGAATCAGACGGCGATGGAGGATTATTGGTGTCCGGAATCATAAAATCGCTCGGACTAGGAGATCGTTCATTTTCAGGCGGACGTGCAACCGATAACGGACCTAGGGCTCCGTGAGAGCCCAATTCAGCCGTTGATACGCCGTTTTCTGATAGGAATTCGTCAAGGTCGACATACTATAATATTATATAAAACAAAAAATTCATTTTATTTGAAAATCTTTTGTGAGTGGGTACTCACCTTATGGTCACTTTCGTAAGATTTGTTCCACAAATTTGGTTTTAGGAAGGCTGTTTGCGCTGGGGTGTTCCTCAGTTCGCCGTCCTCTTTTTTGTCGTTGCCCAAAATGGCATCAGCCAGTTCTTTGATCGTCGACGTCGAATCCTCATGGCCGTTGTGGTGTGAGGGTGTACTGTCACAGGTACTGTTGCCTGGAAAAAAAATACAGTTTATTTGAACACTATTTAAATGCAGTATTGTTATACCTTCAATAGTTTGAGACTGGAACTTGTTGCCGTTATGCCTCATCTTACCGAACACTTCCATATAATAATAATAATTATAATATCTCAGATAATCAGGGGGTAATACGGGATTGTACACGCTGGCATATGGGTTAAACATTTTAAATTGTATTTTGTAAATGCCTTTAAAGGCAATAATGTGATCGGCCGATCCGTCACACTGTAAAAGCTGAAAGAAATGAATAATATTGAGAATCTTGATAATGCCACGCTCAACATAGGTATTTGCAGGATTATTATTTTCACGTTGAATGTAAACAATTTTTTTTCCTTCTGTTGTTGAAATAATTTTATTATTATTAGTGCAGACAGAGATGTACCTATTTGGGCGATTTGTGTCTAGGTGTTTTGTCAGAAAATTATTGTTGATTTTATAGACACAGGTTAAATTTAAACCGCGCTAAAGTTGGCAACCAATTTAGCAGCCAATCTTCCGCAAACACCCGAACCACCAGTGCCGTGCGTTTTTTTTATTGGATCAATCAATAAATGAAATCTACCTAATTACAAAAAAAAACACTATAAAATTAGGACTGATGGACATTAAGAAATCGTTTTTGTGTATGTATAAAAAAAAATAATTTCAATGCATAAAAAAAAAATAACAATTTATAAATACCAAATGTGCCAGTTATTGACCAATTCGAAAAACGAGTGTGGTAGTCATTGACCTATTAGACAGGACTATAAACCTAAAAAATTAGGTTCTAGAAGCAAATCGTGCTACTTTGAGGTGGAGGTATTTCTTAGGTAATTTGACCCTGCAGAATCCAAAAATGCCTGTTACCAATTCAAAATCGCGACAGGGAGTGAGATTTAACTGATTTTTCGCCTTTTAAGACCTATGAACGTGATTAGGACGTCAAATTATATGTGTTTTAGGGCCAAAAGTGAACAGTGGTACTAGAATTCAGACATTTGAATCGCCTTCTCACTGCATTTTTCGTATAAGCTGTTGCCCAGCTTATCTTTGCTGATATGGGTATGAGTAACATTTGCTAAATTTTGGTTAAACCATGGTTTCGACTCTGATTTCAATTTAGAATTTTTTGTTGAAGCTGTTCCCTCAAATGCATTTGAAATTTTATCATAAAATATATTATTTGGATTGGTATATTCCCAATATCTTTTTATAATCCAAATCTGAAAGCTTCATTTTTAGATTATAAGTATCAAACCTAATGCTAGTAATGGTTTTGTATTTTGGTTCAATAATATTTTCATCAGAAAGGGCACACTTCTTATGGGATTTTGGTTGAATGCGGAATTTATTTTTCAAACAAATCACCAAGTGTATGTATACCTACCTAATATCTAAAATAGACTTAGACCCTCGGCCAAGGGATCATAAGGCAAAAAGTTTTTAGCACGAGCGTAGCAAGAACTGGAATTCATTGAGAGATAGAAAGTCACTCTTCTATCACAAAACGTAGTAGTACACAATTTTTCACACTTTTGAATATTTTTGGTCATTATGCAAGTTTTTTTTTGCTTTATTTACACTTTATATAGGTACCTACTTACCTTGCCCAAGGTAATATTAGAAAACCCCCCGTATATCCGAATCTAGTCATAGGATCGGTGTGTACCCATGAGAACTCTTACTCAGGAGGTCGAAATATACAACATACCAAAATTTGGTTAAATTCCGCGTTCAGCCAAAATCCCATAAGAAGTGTGCGGGGTCCTTTGAATTATTTGAAATTTGTGATCGCTCAACTGACTTAAAATAGATGTTGTTCGTTTTATTGGAGTTTGTCACAATATGGTCTATTAAAGTTGATGTGGAACTCAAACGGATTTTTTAGAAAGATGCTTGAGAACATCGCAAACACTCTCTGAAAATTTGAAATCGCATTTTGTATCTTAAGGTAAAAAGTCAAAATTTTCCTAAAATTTCAACACTCCGTATTTACTTTAACGATAAATTAGGGTGACCATACGTACAGCATTTTGAAAGTCTGTCCAGCATTTGATTTTGTACAGCAAACGTACAGCGATTCAGATCACAATTAAGTTTTTATTAACAATTGTACGAAAAATTCACCGCTAAAAAGAAGACCACATATTAGACAATCAGGAACGATTTTGCAGTAATTGCAGGTTGCTCTTTGTGACTTTTGCGTTATTTTTGATATTGAGTCTTGTGAATTCCAGAATAATAATTAAATGGTTGGGAGTTATGTGTTTCCTATTATCATCCATTTTTTTTTTTTTTTTTTTCAAAAAATGGTACCAAAACGAGCTATAAAAGCTTTGTTCCAGCAAACCGTATAATGTACCGTCACGATTCTGCCCAAAGCCTAAAATTTGTGCGTAGAATCCGAAATTCGTATCCAGAGTGGTTTTCAAACCGTTCATGGGACGGTTTTTGATGTGTTGGAACAGACCTAAAGTCGACAAAATTTACCCAAAAAAAACTTTTTTGGTCGTGGCACCATTTTTTTGTTTTGCATTTTGTGCTTCCTCCACTCACCTGTCCCAAAATTTTAGATGTGTACAGCATTCATACAAAAAAAATATGGTCACCCTACGATAAATTACAAGGGTAGATAATCCAAAACATTATGTCAACTTCAAATCTCCTCATCGATGGTGATAGCTATGCAATGCTTTGGGAAAAAATCGACTTCAACAGAGTTGATTCCTTCACCGTGTGAATTCACATTAGTATCTAGAAAAAATAGCAATTGAAAATGTGATGACATTCGCTTATCAGTTATCTGTAGCATCTAAAAGAAGTAGGCTGAGGCTATAAGGTCCTAACACCTAACGACAATCAACTAAAGAATGCATTGATTGTAGAATGGCTGAATATTTTCCTGGAAGTTATTAAAGAATACAGATACAGATAGGTTAACACAGTGGCGGCTCGCTCTAAGGGGCCAAGGAGCCGTGGCACTGGCGTAAAATATGTCGGTCTTTTTAAAATAATTTCTTTTACAAAAAGAAAACTTCAGTCTTCTCCACTTCTCCAATAAATTTAGTGGAAAAGACTGAAGTTTTCTTTTTGTAATTTACAAAGCTCCACTGTAAGAAAATGGACTATTTTTTCAATATTTTCTTTTTTTTTAGTTCAATAGTTATTATCGTCAGGTCAAATTATCATTTTATAATTTGATCCCCACGAAAAAATTCATGTCGTTATTATTCCTAGATTTCCTAGACAAATAATTCATGCGACTGACTAAACTAAACTCGCTAGACTATCCGTCTGAGCACATCTCAAAACGGCCCCGCTGCAACATGAACCGCTTTCCAGTATGCACATTGGCGCGCTCTGGCGCGCTCCAGAGCACCTCGGGGGCGCCACGCACTAGATTTGTACCGTTCCAGTATCATGGCGTGAGACGCCTTTCTTAGTGTCAAATATGTCAAATTTTAAAAATAATTATCTGTTTGTGCAGTTTGTTTTTTTATTTATGACCCCCCCCCCCCCCCCCGGGTAAAAATTTGAACATGCTCATTTTGTTCTCCGAGTTTTGCTCCGTTTTGCTCCGTTTTGCGCCATAATCGGCAAGTTTTACTCCATTACCAGGAGAGACCTACAGAGCTCCCAAAAATCTCTCCTAGCCCCCCCCACCGGTGAAATTTTTTAAATTTGAACATGTTCATTTTGTCCTCCGATTTTTGCTCCGTTTTGCTCCATTATCGGCGAGTTTTGCTCCATTGCCAGGAATGACCTGCAGAGCTCCAAAGAATCTCTTCTTGCCCCACAGGGAAAATTTTGAAACTTGAAATTACTCATTGTGTTCTCCGAGTCTTGCTCCATTTTGCACCATGATCAGCTCGTTTTGCTCCATCACGAGCAGTTTTCGGATGCCACGCTTTGAGAGCTCAGCGCTTTCGAGTTAGTCCGGAGTACTCCGGCTACAATATTACACATTCGAGCGAACAGAGTTTGGCGCTCTCAAGCTGCTCTCACTTTCCTCGCCTGTTTCCCTTGATGCACCTGTAACTGATTTTCAAGCGTTCGAGTGCAAAGCGCATTAAGTATAATGAGCGTGAAATGCTCCAAGTGCTTCGCACACTGCACCTGAAAGCGGCTCTGGAATAAACTACACAGCTCCCAGGAATCTCTCCTTGCAACACGTGTGAAAATTTTGGAGTTTCTATATGCGCATTTTGTTCTCCGAGTTTTGCTCCATTTTGCTCCATGATCGGCGAGTTTTGCTCCATTACCTGGAATGAACTACGAGCTCCTAAGAATCTCTCCTAGCCCCCCACACCGGTGAACATTTTGTTTGATCATATTCATTCTGTTCTCCGAGTTTCGCTCCGTTTTGCTCCATGATCGGCGAGTTCTGCTCCATTACCTGAGCTGCTTTCAGATGCCCAGGCTCAATCGGATCAGCGTTTCCGAAAAGGCCTAAAGTTATGCAAATAATATATTATGAGTATAGTCCGCCGCAAAAATTTTGGAGGACCGAAGGAGTGCGTCCGCGTACACAGACAACTCCTACGCATTATTCGTTGTCCTTGTCTAGTCAACAGGCTATTAGGTATATCTCGATCGTTTTGATAGGTTTGCTAGGTTCATAAAATCTGTCGCTATGAGTTCTGTCGCATTGGCTTCCTTTCCCCCTTCAGACGTCGTCCGTCATGATCCGTGCTGTGGACTTCAACAAAGGCGGAACACTCGTTCTCATGGAAACGCTGCTCCCCTGTTTCAAGAGTAAGGACCCTAGAGGTCATTCCAGGTAATGGAGCAAAACTCGCCGATCATGAAGCAAAAGTCGGAGAACAAAATGCGCATATAAAAACTCCAAAATTTTCACCCGTGTTGCTAGGAGAGATTCCTGGAAGCTGTGTAGTTCATTCCAGAGCCGCTTTCGGGTGCAGTGTGCGAAGCACCCGGAAGCGGCTCGTCATGGAGCGAAACGAGCTGATCATGGTGCAAAATGGAGCAAAACTCGGTATGAGTAATTTCAAGTTTCAAAATTTTCACTAGGGGGCAAGAAGAGATTCTTTAGAGCTCTGTAGGTCATTCCTGGTAAAGGAGCAAAACTCGCCGATCATAGAACAAAACGGAGCAAAACTCGGAGAACAAAATGAGCATGTTCAAATTTAAAAAAATTCACCGTTGAGGGGCTAGGAGAGATTTTTGAGAGCTCTGTAGGTCTCTTTTGGTAATAGAGCAAAACTTGCCGATTATGGAGCAAAAAATCGGAGAGCAAAATGAGCATGATCAAAT